CGTGTGTTACTCGACGCAGTTTTATACATATGTGTGTACGTGGTCTAGGTATACACACGTATTGATTTGGGCTGCGAGGATGGCTATATAGGAAATTGTAGAACAGCATTAGATTCCATAATAGAGAGAATATTAGATTGTTCAATGAGTCTTTGCGGAGGTTAGAGCATTATCTCGTGTGGCTGGCTGGGATTTTTTCATTATTCTACTCCCACGTGTAACAGTACTTACAAATCGATTTGGCCAAACATCCCAATGCAGGACCCTTTTGGAAAAAAAAAAGTATTGAGGCTCCCTAGGTCGACTCAGCCTCAAATGTGTGGTGTGTAAACATCGCCACTGGGGAGACAAAGGTGGTCAGGCGTAGTGCTGGTCACCCACCACCTCGTGTGCCTTGCCGGCCTTTATTGGTGCTCGCTAACAGCACTTGCCCCAAAAGTCTGTTCGGCTATATGGGGTATCTTTTTTTGTGTTTACATGCATATGGATGCACATGGCCAACACGTGTTGTCTTCACATGCTAATACGACCTCAATAGCCACTATCAGTGTCCTATCTCGGCGCCTATCACAGCATGGGGTGCTGGTGGTAGTGTAGGGTTTTTACTCGACCTTACATATAAAAAGAATACCCGCTGAGTCGGGTGAAGCAGCAGACATCGGCGATACAAAGGCGGCCAGACATGAGCCAACCCCCACCCCCCCACCTCGTGTGTCACGCTGCCCTGAATAGGTGCTCGCTAACAACACGCTGTCGAAGGGGATGGATATGGGATCAAAATCCCACCCGCATTCGTAAAATTATCACTGCCCTTACTTACAAACATACGTGAAGTAGGCTGACGTTTTAGACAATTTTGCGTACACGACAGTGTGGTAGAGGGGTGTGTGGAACGTGATATCCCTTCACTCACATCACCAGTATGTCTGGTAATTAGTCGCTTAATTCTTATAGCACGAGGCCACCTCAGGTGCTAATCTAGCATTTGGCCTACTCTCACACACTCTGTGAAGAGGTGGGAATAACCCGCACTTTACGCCACCACACGCGACCTGCCGATAATATTAACAGCGGCATACCCATTTACACTGCTGGGTCTACCCATGGAATACCGTGAACAGTTCTGTACATTATATGGAAATCCTTAATTCGTCAACTTCATGCAAGCGTCAGTTTTCTCAGAGCCTCACTGTGTTTCAGTTTCATTTATTAGGTATAGCCCTGTGAGCCATTCGGCTCTTGAATCGGGTGCAACCGCAACAAACAAAAACATGAACAAGAAAACATCTTAAAGTGACTATGCGCAAACAGAAAAATCCAGGAAAAAACTGCAAAGTCTTCCAGAAAAAAAGCAACGCTGTGCTAAAGAATCCCAGTGTGTGTAAAGTGTGTAAAGTGAGAGTTCCGACTCTAAAGTCTCTTCATCTCTCCTGCTCTGAAGAAGACCCATTGCCCAAAACGTCGACCCGTTGTAACCGGTTTCTGTAAACAATTAAAGCGCTCGTGCTGAGTAAGTGGAGGTCGTGGGTTCGAGCCCGACCCTGACCGCCTGCTGCTGTGTATTTGGAGTTTGCGTGTCTCTCTCCCCGTGGTCGCGTGGATTTTTCTCCGGGTCCTCCGGTTTTTCCCTCCCTATTTAGAATCAACATCACGCGTTCAGAGTGTTTGGCTGCTATACATTTCCACGTGATAAGCCACTTCGTTGAGCTGTCATTTATGATAGCCAAGTCGCTTATGAAAAAGAGTCCTCTACAGCTCAGTGGGCCATACCTGGTAAAATAAAAACAAATCGTTGACAATTTGGGACGATTCCCTTAATGAGCAAGCGTGGCACCTCGGCGGTGCGTTCCGATGTCACATCTGCTGGGCGGGTTTCTTTGTGTCTTGGGAGTTGCCAACAATGAGACCCATCATCCCCGCACTCTTAACCCAACCACCCCACCCACCCCGCACGGAGTAGCAGCCCCGGGGGGCGTGGGAGGTTTCAAAAGATTTGCAAATCAAAGGGAGGCTACTCGTAGCCAGACCCATTTTGTTACAAAAAAATGTCTTGCCACTCCCCAGTGACTGTCAGCCCTGAAAGTAGTCAATACAGCAAAACACAGTAAACAAACTATGGACAGTGGTGATTGCAATTTTGATGGTATCACGACCAACATCATCCACAGAGGCTCGTGCTGGACATCTGTGAAAAAGAGCCTCATGGCTCATCAGATTTCTCCAGTCTAAATCTTCTGATCTGGTTCTGATTCAGAGTACAGTCGTTGATAAAGGCGCAGCCCTGCAAGAGCTTGCTGTCATCACCGCTGGCGGATTCCGGGGCCTCCCAGCTAAAGGAAGCTCTAGTGAGCAACTCTAAAAAAAAGGCTTATATCGATATGCGGCTACACGTTGGACATATACGTCTTTGAATAATATGGAATACCCACACTTTCCGCCCTCTCAAATGTTCACTTTGGCCCACTGCTGGGTAGACACTGGGGGAGTGTTTAAGAATCTTCCACAGTTTGTGTTTGACGATGGCCATGTTTGAGTGATGGCTATGCAGGAACACACACACGCAGACGAGTGTAGTTTAAAATGTCCTGTTAAAATTGCTCATGGCGGAGCTCGCTAAGAACTATTATCCCACTCGGCAATCGCTACAGAAAACTACAGTGGGAAAACAACAACAACAACAACTTGTAAAAACATTTGGAAGAGTGGAAAAGTACTGCAGCTTAGTTTACACAGATACAAACCCATAGAGAGAGACGCATCGGTGCTAATTCAATCTCGCTGAAACAAACACATGCAGTGTAACTTGTATTGACCAAACATCCCTATACTGGAAACATTACCTGCAAATTACTTTATTGGGATTGCACATGGGAACATCGCCCCTCCTGTAAAAATATTGACAGGAACTTCCTGAAAAAGGAGAGTTTTTGAGACTCGTGTAGTGGACACCTATGTGCTATCTGCCCATGGATTGTGCTGATGATGATGATGAAGATCTTGTACCGTATTGCTGTGTTCACCTTATCCGGGTTTGGTCTGTACTGTGTATCAAGGTGGCAACTGTAGTCTGCACTCATCTCTGTTGGCAGTCCTGAACAAGCGTTTGAAATTCCACATTGTCCCCTTTTCAAAAAAGATATTTGACATTTGTGCTCAATATCCTTTAATCATGATAATCAATAATTATAATGATTTAGAGCCCCATATCAATCCACTGCTGGACGATACCGGTTGAAGGCCTTTGTAATGGGGCTTGTCACCATACTTCAAGCTGGTCAGTGTCATGGGGGGCACCACAAATTCAGATATTACAATTTTTAGGTTTTTTCGGTAAAGTCACGTAGGTAAAAAACATTAAAAAGTACAATAAAATAAAAATAAAGAATAAAAAATAAAAATAAAAAATCACGACGTTTCGGAGGCAACACAAGCTTCCGTCTTCAGGTGGTATCGTCAACAGCCACGACAGCTGTATCAAGTAAAAGTTTTTATTATTTTTTTATTTTATATTTTATTTTTTATTCTTTATTTTACTTTTTAATGTTTTTTACCTACGTGACTTTACCGAAAAAACCTAAGAATATGAATCCTTGCAGTCACGAAAGCTTCAAATCTAGAATCAGATATTACTTTCTACAGATGTTGTTAGCCGTGGCCAGGAATCGAACTCGGGATGCTGAACACAGCGCAGTGCGCTAACTATTGCACTGCGACTCCACGCCCAATAGGTATACGGTTATATTTAATAATACGACTGTTGGTGATTGGATATAGGATAGGGCTAGCTCAAACCTCGTATAATCCCATGACCAACACAATTAAAACCCCATTCATACATATAAGTCGATTTGCACAATAGTCAAATAAGTGTTTTTTTTCCTCAAGTCTGGTTATTCATTATAAATCCCACTCCCCACACCCAGGCTCACAGGCAGTAGCCCTTATCTCCAGACGCCTAATCTCCTCCAGATAAGACACTCATTGCAGCTTTGATTCTGCAGGAATATAGTGGCAATTAAGATAGTGGATTCTTGTGAACTGGAGGAAAGACATGGACACTGTGCAAACAGAAGTGAGAGCAACTGAGAAGAGAAAGTCTGAATTTAACTTAACTCTTGCCATGCCATCAGCACCAGCAGTGTTATTATTATGGACATCATCTGTTATTAACATCATCAGTAGCAGCAGGATCAACATCCTCATCAGCAGCACCACTACCGTTGGCAGCAGCAGTATTATCAATATCGTTTATCATCATTATCAGCAGCAGGGTTAACATCATCAGCACCAGTAGCTGCTGGTGAATACACAAGCGCAGGAATTGAAAAGCAGAAATCTCACTCGTGCATTTAGAGAGACCACCGTAAAACCATAAAAGTCCACTTTACAATAAGTCTTGTGATTTACAACAGAGCGCCATAGGTGTTCACTAGCAGTCGTGTTGAGCAGAGGTCGCAACCGGGTACCCGATACCCATACCCTACCCGATACCCGGCTACCCGTACCCAGCCAGGTACGGGTACGGGTACCGGTTTGCGACCCTGGTGCGGCCGGGTACGGGTAGACCGTGAGTCACTGGTGAGTAACCGTGTGTCACTCATTTCCTAACGTCTTGTCTCTTCTCACAATTCAAGTTCCTAGAATCAACCCACCGGCGCCTGTAACATGGCTTCATCCCAGAGGTCGCAATCAGGTACCCGATACCCGTACCCGGCCGGGTACGGGTAGGGTACGGGTATCGGGTACGGGTACCCGTTTGTGACCCTGGTGCGGCCGGGTACGGGTAAGGAATCAAAACCCGTTTGCGACCTCTGGGGTTGAGTCAGCGTTCACGGGTGGCTGGCTCGTGGGTCTCCAATCGTCTCAACTGACGGAGTCTTAAGGGCGGCGGCTACTTCTTAGTCCGGTGCTGCGTGGGGCCGAAATCGCCAGGAGATGGGAATTTCTGTCTGACCGTGCCCCCCCATCGCCTCGCCGTGCCGTGTGCCACATGCGAGCAGTAAGCGCGGGGTGGTGGTGCGACATGGAGGAGGCGGTGGTGGTGGAGGTGACGCGGCGGCGTGTACGCGACGCGCCTACACGAGTGAGGACGAGGCCTGGAAGAGCTACCTGGAGAACCCCCTGACGGCCGCCACCAAAGCCATGATGAGCATCAACGGGGACGAAGACAGTGTGGCCGCCCTCGGCCTACTCTACGACTACTACAAGGTAAGGGGTGCTTACAGATTGGGACGTTTTGGAATCTCAGATTTTTAAGGGTAATTATATATCCGGATTTTTATTTTTATCCCGACTTGTTGACGTTATGGATGTAGTTTGAAGCATCTTTGTGGCGTGAGCCGGTGCCAAGTGACGCCATTTTTTGTGAAGAAAGCATTGGCAATTAGCAATGTAATGTCCTATGACGTCATATTTGTTTAATGATCCGAAATACAAAACAAATTGAGTCAGATTTTTTTGGGAATTGCAACTTTGTTTTTTGGGAGAGCCTGACCTTTAGTATAAAGAACAGCTCAGCGACCACTGCCTCACTGCCATCTGCAAGTCGCATATTTAGATACGAGCAAATACAAGAGAAGCCACACAACAGCAAACGGATAAGGCAAAGAGGGGGAGTGTGGATCGCAAGCAATTCACCGTCCATACATTTTGGCAAAGGGACCCACAACTGCAGACACGATCACTGTAACGAATAGGAGCCAAAGACACTGCCGAAACCAGCATGTAATGTACACAACACCTCTTGTAGCTCTTTTTTATTCATGTAAAATTGCTTACTAATCACAAACCGAGAATATGACACCTGTGCGTGTACTCCCAGAGAATGAGATATGGCAATGCAGCTGCGTCTTATTTAAGATGAGAATGAATAATTGAGGGGCGGTTACTGAGACGTGTGGTGCCGGGGAGGGAGAGAGGAGGGAGGGAGGTTCACCACGCTTTATTGTAAGTCACCACTGGACCCCACTAGGCCCCACTGGGCCTGGCCTGGCAGGGTCAGGGCCAAGTGTGTTTCTGGCTTCGGTTGTTCATTGGCAGCGGAGTTAAGGTTGGAAGTGAATGTCCTCAACACTGGAGCGTGAGCGATGATGGATGGTTATTATGACCATGATGGTGAATGATGATAATGATTTGATGATCATGACGACGATGGTGCTGATCGTATTGTGAATGATGATAAACGGGAATTGGTGGCGGTGATGGTGGTGACGACAGTTAATGATGGTGGTGACGACAATTAATGATGGTGGTGTTGATAATCATGATGACGATAGCTGATTATGGTGATGTGTGTTCTAGGTGCCGCGAGATAAACGTCTGCTACCAGTAAAGGGCTCTGAGAACGGAGACTTGGAGCCCAAACGGTGAGATGCCTCACCTCAACTACGAGGTGTATCACCCTCACCCCTGCATTACCCAGAATGCCAGACTCAATGCTGACCCTCTATATTACCCAGAATGCATTGTCCCCTTCACGCCCAGTAACTGATAGCTGTCCCCCTTTACTGCTCCTTTTAACCCAGAATGTCGCGCTCAGTGCTGCCCCACTTAATTACCCATAATGCCACAGTGCTGCTCCAATGTATTATTTGAGTGCTGCGCCTCTATATTATTCAGAATTCCGCACGGTAAAAGGGTGCAGAGTAGCATCCCTTTCATGACCTGCAGTTTGCATGTCTCTCTCCCCGCAGTCGTGTGGATTTTCCTCCAGGTCCTCCGGTCCTTCCCTCCACATTTATAAACATGCTGATAAGCCTCTTCGTTGAGCTATCATTTGTGGCCGGGTCGTTTCTGAGAAAGAGCTGGATAGCTCAGTGGGCCCTCACCTGGTAAAATAAAAAGAGTAGTTCGTCAAAAAAATACCCACAATTGCCCACTGCCGTCACCCCTTTTCCACCGCGTTACCCAGAATGCGTCACTCACCGCCCGTCCTACCTCCCCACCCCTCCCTCGGCAGGCTTCTGACCGCAATGGGCACGAGCGACACGGGGGAGTTGCACCGTCTGGTGGGCGCAGGCATATCCGGGCCACAGGGCATGGGGTCCCAGCCGTCGGGCATCAAGACGGAAAAGGCCATCTCCTACAACGTGACGGTGGCTCAGCCCTCCGTGCAGTTCTACGAGCGCGAGGAGCAGCGGCCCGCCATTCTCTACGAGCGCACGCACATGACGTTCGACATCGACCACGGGGCCGGCGGCGTGGGGCCCGGGCCGGCGCCACCGCAGGTCACGCAGGCCCAGCCGGGCGTGGGGCATTACCTGAAGGAGAACGATGACCGGCGCTCACCTGACAACGGGTCCCTCGACCAGGGCCCCGGCCTCCAGGAGGTGCGTGCCCCTATTCGTGTGGTGTGTGCGTGTGTGTGAGATCCGTAAGTGAACCTGTAAAATGCCTGCGTGGGTGTGTTAAGCTACGTGTGTGAGTTAACCCATAGCGCCTGTGTGGGTGTGTTTGCCCATAACGCCTGTGTGGGTGTGTTAGCCCATGTATGTGAATGAGCCCATAAGTTAACCCATAATGCTGGTGTCTTTTCCGTAACCTCCTCCCAGAGAGGTTTCACTTCACATGGCGTCAATGTGCACCAAGCTTGACACGAGCTGTGGTGATATCACCGCCACTTAGTGGCGATTGGCGGCTGTTGATGCTGCTGACAAGTGTGTGTCTGTCGGCTTGTGTGTGACACCTATCTTTGTGAGATACCTATCCATACACACGTGTGTGTGTGTGAAACTACGGACGATATAGTAAACCACCGTAGTTCGCCACTCCTTCAACGGAGGAGGAACAGCAACACTACACGAACTCTCTCCTGAAGCACTCTCGCCGTGGCTGGAAGCAGACCTCGAAATTAGCATTTAGCTCCTGAAGAACGTTATCTCTTCCAGCATACACAAGAATAGAATGTGTGAAACCTGCTTGTGTGATGCCTGTCTGCCTCTGCAATACCTGTCGATCTGACACCCGTCTTCTGCTGTGTCCCGCTTGTTTATCCCGCGGGTGTCTCTCTGCGTGCATCTCCCCGTGATGTCCACAGACATACCACTTCAGCGAGCTGACCAAGTTCCGCGCTCAGCCAGCAGACACGTCCGACTACGAGACAGCGTCCGGGTGAGACTCCCCCGTGCGAGTAGTCTCGTCTCTGTGTCCGAGTGCAGTCAGACAGAGACGGGACCACTCGTCCTGCCGGCATGTGTCACACACACAAAGACCCCGTATAGCCTGAACAGACTGTGATGTTAGCGAGTAACACCTATGAAGGCTGGTACGGCATATGAGCGCGGTGGGTGGCCAACACCACCCCCGACCGCCTTTTAGTCCCGAGTGGTGGCGTTTACATACCACACCAGTTACTTATTTGAGGCTGAGTCGACCTAGGGGAGACCCAGGGCCAGTTCAGATAATTACCACTGGTGTTGACCGTGAGCGGAAATCGAACCCGAGTCGCCAAGTTCGTAGCGCAGCGCGCTTCCCGCTACACTCCACGCGCAGCGGGAGGATCTGCACTCAGAACCGTTCTGTTCCGTTAGTGCAATGCAAGTTCATTAATGCCTTCATAATATCATGTACGGCTGCCAATTCCGCGTTTCCTCCCATCGTAGTCAACAATGTTTTTTTTTTTCCGAAGCCATAGTAAAGCCATTAATCTCTTGGAACAACATTCTCATCTGACTTCATGGAACGGCTGGGTTACTGATCTGGCGAAGGATGCATCGAAGAAGCTTGTTTTTCATTTCCGTGCCAAAGCCTCTTTATCTCCGAGTAATTATTAGTGCTATACTAAGAACATATTTGGCCAAAGTTGGAATACTGCTGTCATATCTGGGACAGAGCACCATGTTCTACTACGATACAACTTTTTTTTATTTAACCAGGTAAGGCCCACTGAGCTGTCTCGCTCTTTTTCAGTTAATGACTTGATCACATTATAGCTCAACGAAGTGACTTATCATGTGGAAATTTATAGCAGCCAATTACTCTAGGCGCATGTTTCTAAATGTGGAGGGAAAAGCTGGAGGACCCGGAGAAAAATCCACGAGACCACGGGGAGAACTGCAAACTCCAAATATACAGACATGAGGGTCAGGTTTAAACCCACGACCTTTCTACCATGCGAGGTATTGAACATCTCACCACCGTGGTATTTAACATTGAGCAACGCAAGCTTGGAATTACTGCTCGGATACAAGGAGAGGAACACGTGGATCAAAGGACACAAATGTACATCAGACATCGTATTGACGGTCCAGAAAATGAAGTGCGCTTGGGCAAGAGACATCACTTAGAAGGGACGTTGGCAGTGGATGAGACTGGTCATGTAATGTCAGCTGAAGGAGAGACCCCAACGGAGAAGAGATGTACTGACGAGACCATTTCAAATGCAAGGGTGAGATGCATTGTGGCATTGCAGGATCCGTGAGCAACGGTGATGGCGTGGGGAGGCCTTCATCTAGCAGTCGATCAACCATGGCTCATAATGATGATGATGGCATATTTCTGCCTTAGTGTAGCAGTGGTTATGCAAAAGCCAATGATGATAGCGTGCGGAAGCCTTCACCCAGCAGCGGATAGAACACTGGATGATGATGCGTACGTGTGCGTGCACGCGACAGGGAGTATTTTGAGTACACCCTGGAGGCGTCCAAGTCCCTTCGGCAGCGCCCGGGCGAGGGCCCGCTCACCTACCTCAACAAGGGCCAGTTCTACGCTATTTCCCTACGCGAGCTGGGAGCCAACAAGTGCCTCCGTCACCCCATGAGCAAAGTTCGGGTGAGTGCGCACGGTGCGGTGGAGCGACGGGGCATGGCGCGCCGTGATTGGAGACGAGATGCGGCACGACACGACGAGAGGCCGCGCGGATTCAACGAGATGTCACGTCTTCGTCGTCGTCGTCGTCGTACGGCTGATGTTGACGTAGAGCGACGGCTATACATTAATTATTTACATTGATGGCGGTTGACCCAGATGATTGCATCAGGAGTAGCGGAGTGGTGCACCGTCGTCGCTGTGACGATGTTTGTGAATGCGGCATTGAGTCGTCGTAAATTTCGTGGTTCTGTTTCCGGGTGGTGATCGCAGTCGCAAACCGAAGAGTTTATTTATTTATTTTCCATTTGTGCATCATCACCAAGTGTCCGCGTCTACTGCCGTGGTTTGCGTAGTGGATGCGGTTCAGGGGTTGCGGCCCAGAAGCTTCAGGGGCAGAGGTTGAAGCCAGGGATCTCGTGCGTCGCCGGGTCTTTCGCGATGAGAAGGTGTTTGTTTGTGACTTCTAGTGAGACGTGACATGACGTACCCGTGCGTGCGTGCGCAGAGTGTGATTATGGTGGTGTTCGGGGAAGACAAAAGCCGCGAGGAGCAGCTCAAATACTGGAAGTACTGGCACTCACGGCAACACACGGCCAAGCAGAGAGTCATTGACATCGGTGAGACCCCCAGCGCCCACACACACACATGGCCCACACACACACATGGCCCACACACACATGGCCCACGCACACATGGCCCACGCACACATGGCCCACACACACAGCAGCGGCCAAACTGCATTTGCACATGCGGAGGTACCGGACCATGTGACTGTAGTCCACACACTGAGATTACGGTACATGGATTAGTAATACCAGAGCAGAAGTCCATACCTCGGCTTCATGCCAATGCTTACTAGAGATTCAATCTTGATTTGAAGCTTTCGTGACTGCAGGAATCCATACTCTTTGTTTCTTTTGGTAAAGTCACGTAGTTAGAAATAAAATAAAACAAAACAAATCACGACGTTTCGATCGCAACGCAAACGGTCGTCATCAGGCAAAGAGATGTGCAATGACACACTTGCATTAAAATTGATTCTCATCCATGCAGTGTGTATGTTTATACGTGAATTCAAATTGGTTATTTACAATTTATGTATGTTACATATACGCCTGATATGCTGGTGATTAGGACATAGAGGCTGATTACGTGAGAAAATTGTGCAAATGGGAAAAGAAAACCATGTCGGAATAAATTGCACGAGAATCGATTCGAGTATTGAATCGCGATTTGGCGAACTACTGTGGCCTGCGAATCTTTGCTTTTGTTTTAAATTATTGCTGATTAGCTCCGTGGCCATGATATATTTTACACTGTGACAGTGGGACTCTTGTTTGTTTTGGCGGGAAAACTGTTGCTGTCAATTTGTGGCAGAAATTTTTGAAATCTCTGCAGTGCTTTGGCGGTTTGATTGTTTTTTTACCGTTTACTGCAGAGGCCCTCCTCTGTCTTCCACCCTGGAAACGGATCACTGTGCGTGATTGGTTTTGGAATCGCCTCATTGCTTGGAGCCTGATGCCTTAATCATTGTGGTCTATCTGCTGTATATGGGCCAAATACATTACCAATTTGGGCTCAAAATACATTACCACGAATTCCTTTTTTTAACGCAAAAGTGGTCTTTAAATGAAGAGTGAGTGACTCACATACAACAAAGATCCCCCCCGCCCCCATAGAGCCATCATAGACACTTGGGGCAAGTACTGTGAGAGAGCACCTATTTAAAAGGCCAACACAGCACACGAGGGGGTGGTGTGGCTGACACCACTCCCGGCCGCCATTGCCTCTCCAGTGCTGATCTTGACAGATGGGAACCACATCATGCATTTAAGGCCGAGTCGACCTAGGAGAGGCCCAAAACCGGTTTAGACAATCGCCACCGATGTCGGCCGTGAGCGGGAATCGAACTCGGGTGGCTGCGTTCGTAACGCGGTGCGCTGAGCGCTACGCTGCCGCTCCTCACATCAAATGTGCGCACGGTCGCACACGTGCGTTCGGACAAGGACACGCGCAACGCACGAAAGCGTGGGGGCGCGCACGCTCGATCTCGCAGTAACGCCTAAATGCTCCCTTGTCTTTGTATGCGGGATCTGATTTCCATGGTTACCGGTGCAGGTTAAGTGTTTTGAATCCATGCTAGGATTTGTGTGGAGGTTGTTGTTGGTTGTGGTGGTTGTGGTGGTGGTGGGAGAGGGCGGTGGGGAAGGCGCTCGCCCTCCGCGCCGCAAATGGCGATACCTTTTCAAGCCTCGGGTGTCCATTTCTTCTTTTGAACGCGCGCCCCCTTATCTGTGCTTGCACGGGGGGCCGCATTGCGAAGCCACCTTTTGTCGGGGCCCTCCCCGCCTCCAGTCGTTGCCGTGCGATCACGTTCAGAAAGGCACGGCCGCCGGGGAGAGGTGCGATTCTCATCGCAGGGTGGAGGCTGCGTTGCCGACATTCTCACAAATGTTGGCTTTTCCAGGGGCGCGTATTCCGTGCTCGCTTTTAACAGCACTTGCTCCCAACAGTCTGTTAAGGCTACACGGGGGTTCTTTGTCTTTATTCTTAGGTTTTTTCGGTAAAGTCACGTAGGTAAAAAATTAAAGTTAATAAAAGTAAAAGCACGGGGAGCGGTAGTGCAGTGGTTTAGCGAGCTGCGCTATGAACCCGGCAGCTGGAGTTGGATTCTCGCTCACAGCCACCACCAGTGGCGATTATCTGAACCAGACCTGGACCTCCCCTAGGTCGACTCGGTCTCAAATGAGCACCTGGTGCGATGTCAAAACATCGCCAGGCGATCGGGCGTGGCGCTGGCCACCCATACCCTCGCTCTTCATAGGTGCTCGCTAACAGCCCTTGCCCTAAAAGTCTGTTAAGGCTATACAGGGGATCTTCATCTTTGTGTGTGCGTGTCGTGCTTCGGCCAAAAATACAAGCAGAGAAAATTCGCATCTGGAAATTATGACAATTACAAAACAATTTACACGTAAAAGAAAACATTCCTCGGATAACAATTTGCGCAGTGTTGCTACTTGCTTTTTTTACCGGAATAATTCACAGCCTTTTGTCCATCCACTCCACGGCAGGATGAAGGCATCCCCATGCCATGTTACAGTCAGGTGCCCAGATGTGATAACTCGCCACTGATGTTGTAGTCATGGCCGCGAATCGAACTCAGATCGCCCGGTTCAATAACACAATTGGCCTAATCGCTGCACCACCGTTCCATTGTTTTTCTATATTAAGTTTTTTTCATTACGGGAAATTAAATATTTTGACGTTTTTCTTTAGTTAACAATCTGTCTTACCACCAACAACTTAACAAAATAAAATCATCTCATACATTTGGCTTTTTTTTGCTGAATTTGGCAAAGCCCTCCTGAGGGCCTTAATGAGATGACAATCGTAAGGTAGAATTGTATTGATAACCATTGACACACCAACATGAATTCTGTAGCAGCAGCACCATCATCGTTACCTTCGTCAGTACGATCATGATCATCGTGAAGAATCCACATTGATCATCATCACCCCCATCTTTGCCCATTTACACATTTAGCTCTCATTTACCTGTATGTCTGTTCACTTATTGATAATTAACCGATGTGTAGTTGTAGGAATACCGTAGGCCTGAGAAATCCCACGCACAGAATGACAGCAACAGTCATTTTGCCTGCTGCACAAACAGCAGGAATCAGACTGCGACCTACTTTCTTTACCGCCACCTATTACAAGCACCGGGTGGGTGCGTCTCACAGATCCCATCTCAGCGTGATCTACCAACCCCTCCCCCCCCCCCCACCATGTCACCGGGAGATATTAATAATAATTGAGTAAATTTCGATTTAAAGCTTTCGTGACTGCAGGGATTCATCTTCTTGGTTCTTTCGGTAAAGTCATGTAGAATATAAATAATAAAATAATAAAAATAAAACATAATAAATAATTCTCACGACGTTTCGGCCACAACGCAAGCAGCCGTCTTCAGGTGGAGAACAGGTCTGTCGAGAAGGCAGAGTTATTCAGACTCTTTTATTATTTCTAGATTTGAAGCTTATTTTCATTCTACGTGACTTTACCGAAAGAACCAAGAAGAATAATTGAGTACATTTGGTCTTCTCGCCATTCATAGAGCGTACGGCTTTCACGAAGGAGGAAAGGCCCTCTGTGTCCCCAGACACAGTCCGGAGGAGATGTGGTGCGATGTGGCACGGGGAGGGTGTGTGTGGGGGGGGGGGGGTCCTCGATCTGTGTGTGGGCATCAAGTCTCACTCCACCGTCCCGCATCTCCCCGTCCCGGGCAGAACCAGTTTGTCGAGGCCTGGAGCCAGTTTCTACCGGCGAGCCGAGCCGTGCCGGCCAAAACTACCCGCATGTCGCGCGCATATTTGTGCACGCGAATCTTTTGTGCGGGTCTGACGATTATCTGAACCGTTCCTGGGCCCTCTCCTAGGTCGACTAGGCCTCAAATGAGTGGCTGTGTGCGATGTGTGGGAAAGATCGTCATTTGGGAGACAAAGGCGGGCGGGCGGGCGGGCGTGGTGCTGGCCACCCACCCACTCTTGTGCCGTGCCGGCCTTCATAGCTTCATAGGTGCTACTCACTCACAGCACTTGCCCATACAGCATGTTAAGCCTATACAGTAAAACCTTGGATTGCGAGCATAATTCCTTCCGGAAACGTGTTTGTAATCCAAAGCACTCGAATATCAGTTGTGATCACGTGACGCTTGGCAGACAAAGCGTATACACGTGCTACTCGTGTTGCAAGACCTCGCTCGTTTATCAAATTAATATTTATTTTTAAAATGTTTTCGTCTTGCAAAACACTCGCAGACCAAGCTACTCGCAATCCAAGGTTTTACTGTACATCTGTCTTTGTACTCGTACTGTGCCTCAAACCTGGCGATCTGATTTTAAGTCCCTGCCCCGCTTACGTCAGTGGTAGGTGGTATCCGAACTTTTATCCTGGGCGCCTCTCCTAGGTTGACTCAGTCTTAACTGAGCACTGGGGAGACAAAGGTGGTCACGTGTGTACTGGCCACCCCCCCCAACCCCTTTGTGCATCCTCGTTTAATAGGTGCTCACGACTATTGTTTACACAAAGACGTTTAGATTCGTTATTTCGTTTGTTTCTCAATCCGCTTGTCCTGGTGAGGGGATGCGGCGGAAACTTGTTGAGTAGGGCGGTCCAGACCTCCCTTTCCCTGGCGACAGATTCCAGCACTACTACACTACTATACACTACTATACACTGCACTATACACTACACTATACACTACTATACACCGACTCTAGCTCTTCCTGGGGATTTCCCAGGCGTTCCCAGGCCAGCCGAGCGACAGTACCACCAGCGTGCCCTGGACTGGTTCCAGGGTCTTCGCCCATTTTTAGATTAGTACATCGTTCAATTGTTGAAAGAAAAATTATAAATCCTAAATGTTTCATATCTGAAATGCATCTGTGATGTAGACACAGTATCGGTCATGCGTTGTCTGGTGGCGAAAACAGTTTTCCTGCCGAGCTGCTGTGGAAACCCGCATTACGCGTGCATCTTTGGGCACTGCAACTTCCACGGACGTCAATTGGGCCCTCGATTTTTTTTTTGTTACACTCATTAGAACGTTGCAGGA